ATCAGTCAATGACTTTCCGGGTTGTGGGTGCGTATTCATGAGGGGGTGGAGCCGGAGGGGAGTTCATATTCATGAGGGGGTGGGCTTCCCTCTGGGGCCTGAGATCTGGGGAGGGGACCAGGGGGATTAGGAGCTCGGACACCTGGGTTCTGTGTGCCCGGCGGCCCCGGCTATTAATGCCCAAGAGACCAAACAGGCCCTGACCCCAGGTCTGCTGCAGAGGTGCAGCTGGCTCTGGGGTGAGTGCTATGGGCCAGGTATAACAGGGCTGCAGCCAGCTCTAGGGTAGGCACTGGGTGTAACAATGCAGCTGAGTCTGGGGTAGGCACCAGGGACTGGGTGTAACAGGGCTGCAGTCAGCTTGGGAGTGGGTGCTGGCTGTAATGATGTGGCTGAGTCTGGGGTGGGCGGTGGCGAGCAGGGGTGCGGACTGGGGAAGTAGCTGAGTCCTCTCGTGGCAGTGACAGGGGGGTGTGTGTGTGTGTGTGTGTCATGGGCACCTGGGTTCCACGTGCAGGCCTTGGGCTCCCTGTGCAGCAAATCACTGCCCTGCACCTCGGGGCTTGTAGGGGGAGCGGGGGGGGCGCTGGCAGTCCAGGCACCAGGGTCCCCTGGGCGGACATGGGAGGCACTGTGCCCCCTTGTCATCCCTAGGAGCCTGGCGGGCAGAGGTTCGCGCCCTCCCCGGACACCTGGGTCCCCCAGCAGCAAGGGGCCCTGGACACCTGGGTCCTTCCTGCTTCCTGGCTGGGGATTTGCCTTAACTGGCTGAGCCGAGCAGGGGACACAGCGGTGCTGGGAAGGAGCTCGTTCTTGTTAGGCAAATGTGGCCCCAGCTATTAATGGCCCTGGGAGGAACCAGCATTTTAGGAAGTCCTAAAAATGCCTGAGATGGCAAACAGGTGCTAACCCCAAGTTGGCCGCAGAGATGTGACTGAGTCTGGTAGTGGTGCTGGGGGATGGGTCTAACGGGGCTGTGGCTGGCTCTGGGGTGGGCACTGGGTGTAATGATGTGGCTGAGTCTGGGGTGGGCACCAGCGCCTGGGTGTAACAGAGCAGCAGCTGGCTCTAGGATGGGTGCTGGATGTAATGATGTAATGATGACCCCGGGGTGGTCAGTGGTGGTCAGGCATGGATTAGGGAAGTAGCTGAGTCCTCTTGTGGCAGTGATGGCTCTGTGTGTGTGTGGCCCAGAGGCCTGGGTTGTGTGTATATGCGTGTAGGTGGGGCCAGGATTCTGTGTGAAGTGCGTGCGAGCAAAGCTGGGGAGAGGGGGTGTGATGGGAGGTGCAAGAACTGCAGGGAAATGAGGCCTCTGGGCTCTTAATCAGAAGACCCAGGCGTCTGGTGCGCGCGCGCACGCACGCACACACACACACACACTCCCCTCTTGCAGGCAGAGGGCCGGAGGAAGCCTTGAGCAGAAGTGGGTTGTGACGTCCCCTGTGTGTGGCACCCACGCTAGTAGCACTTCCCCTCCCGACACCCTGGGGACCAATGCAACCACCTCTTGGGTGGGCCCGGGGCTGTGTGCTGTGTGTGCGTGTGCGCGCACGTGTGTGTGTCCATCCAAGATGCCTTGGTGCTGTGTGTGTGTGTGTCTGTCAGCCTGTCCTGGACACCTGGGTTCTGTGTGTGTGTGGTCCAGACACCTGGGATATATGTGTTTCTGTGCGTGAGTGTGTGTGTGTGTGTGTGTGTGTGTGTGTGTAGGTGGAGGAGGGGAGGGGGGGTTGTCCCGGGCACCTGGGTTCTGTGTGTGTGTGTGTGTGTGTGTGTGTGTGTGCAAGCAAAGCCAAGGGCCTGGCTGGCAATGGGGGAGGTGTGACAGGAGGTGCGAGACCTGTGGGCAAATGCAGTCTCTGGCCTCTTAATCACCAGAGCCAGATGTCCAGGTTGTGCGTGCGTGTATGCGTGCTTACACACACACACAGAGGATTCAGGCGTGTGCATCTGTCCTGCTGTAGTGGTATGTGTCCCCCTTAGTGTAGGATTGTCTGTGTCCCGATGTGTTTGTGGGTCTCTCTTGCTGTAGTGGTGTCTGTGTGTCCTGCTGTGCCTGTGTGTGTGTGTGTGTGTTTCTGTGTAGGGGTATGTGTCCAATGGTGGCTGTTTATCTTATTGTAGCTCTGTGTGTGACCATGTCCTGTTGTATCAGCATGTGTTTCTCAGTGTAGGGGTGTGTCTGACTGTAGTGGTCTCTGCTTGTACCTGTGTGTCACAGTGTAGGCTTGTGCATCTGGCTGTAGTTGTGTGTGGGTGTTTGTCTCATTGTAACTGTGTGTGCGTGTCTCGGTGTAGCTGTGTCCATCATGTCCCAGTGTAGCTTTGTGTGTGTAGCTGTATGTGTGTAGCTGTGTAGGGAGCCATATGTGTGCATCCAACTGTAGCTGTATGTGTGCTTCCATGTAGCTCTGTGTGTGTCCTGGACACCTGGGTTATGTGAGTGCAGGGGTGTATGTCCAGCTGTAGCTGCGTGTGTGTTCCGGACGCCTGGGTTGTGTGCATGTGTCCTGGATGCTTGGGTTCTGCGTGTGTGTGTGACTGTGTGTCTTTGTGTGTGTGCCTGACTGTAGCTGTATGCATCTCGGATGCCTAGGTTCTGCATGCGTGTGATGTGTGTGTGTGTCCCAGATGCCTGGGTTGTATGCGTGTATGTGTGTGTGTGTGGGGGTGGGGGTTAGTGTAGGGTTGTATGTCCAACTGTAGGGAGGTGTGCGTTCCAGACAACTGGGATGTGCGTGTATGTTTGTGTGTGTGTGTCCGTCCCGGATGCTTGGGTTCTGCCTGTGTGTGTGTGTGTGTGTGTGTGTGTGTCTGACTGTAGCTGTGTGTGTATGTATCCCAGATGCCTAGGTTCTGTGCATGTGTGATGTGTGTAAGTGCCCTGGATGCCTGGGTTGTGTGTGTGTGTGTACACGTGTGTGTGTCTCTGACATTAGCTATGTGTGTATGTATCCCAAAGGCCTAGGTTCTGTATGTGTGCAATGTGTGCAAGTGTCCTGGACGCCTGGGTTCTGTGAGTGCATGCGTGTGTGTGTGTCCTGAAACCCTTTATCACCTCCGCAGCAACCCTCCCTCCCCAACCCCCCTCCAAAACCCAAAGCTGCCTCCCATCCGCTGTCACTTCCCCTTCTGCAGTCACCAGCTCCCGTAAGTCCAGCACTGAGCGCCATGGACCCCCTGGCCCTGCTCCTCTGCCTAAGTGCAGGTAGGCCCGGATACCTGGTTCTCTGGGAGGCGATTGGGGGCTGGGGGGTGAGCGCAGGGAGGGCTGGGAGCCTGGACTCCTGGGCTCTCTGGCACAGGAGCTGGGCTGGGGGCTGAGAGCAGGGGGAGCTGGAAGAGGCTGAGCTCCACTAGCGCTAAGGGTGCTCTGGGAGGGGAGTGGGGCTGGTGGGGGAGAGCAGGGGAGCCTGGGACCCTGGATACCTGGGTCATCTGGGAGGGGAGCTGGGCTGGGGGCTGAGCATGGGGAATTGGTAGAGGACGAGCTCCACTAGCTCTAAGGGGTGTCTGGGAGGGGAACAGGGGAGCAGAGGGGCTGGGACCCCCAGATGCCTGGGTTCTCTGGCTCTAGGTTCTCTGTTTGACCCCTGCAGCGCTGGCGTCCTGCCACGGGTTCAACGTGGACGTGGATGGACCCATCTCCTTCCAGGAGGCAGCTGTTGGGTTCGGGCAGAGCCTGGCAATGAGCGCACAGGCTGGGGGGTAAGAGTGGGGTCGATGGCCCGGACGCCTGCGGTCCCTGGGAGGGGAGGGGGGCCGGGGGCTGAGAGCAGGGGGCTGGGAGCCCGGACACCTGGGTTGTTTGAGGGAGGGAACGGGGGCTGCAGGCTCGGGGTCCACCCCCCTGACCCCCCTGCTCTCCCCCTGCAGGCTGTTTGTGGGGGCCCCGCTCCACCGAGGGGGCATAAATGACACCGGCCGAGTCTACAAGTGTGACCCGCGGGCCCAGACGTGCCAGCAGATCCGCATCCCGCGTAGGGCCCGGACGCCTGGGGTCTCTGGGGGGTAGGGGGTGGGAGCTGGGGGGCCGGGAGCCCGGATGCCTGGGTCCTCTCCCCGCTCGGAGCGGGCTGGGAGTGTGGGGAGGACGGTTGTCCCACCCACGGTCTCCGTCCTCTTCCAGGGCCCCCTGACGCTGTGGACATGTCTCTCGGGCTGTCTCTGGCAGCCACCGACTCCCAGGTCCTGGTGGGTACCAGCACCCGTGAGCCCCCACTCGCCTCCCAGAGGCCCCAGCGGTCCGGGCCCCCTTGCTGTCACCCCACAACCCCTGCTTCCCCTCCGATTAAGCCCAGGCATCCGGGCTCCCAGCCTCCACTTCCCATCTGATTGAGCCCAGGCATCCGG